TGCAAAAGCTTTTTATCTTGATGAAGTCCCAATAGTTCATTTTTGCCCTTGCTTCCCTTGTCTTTGGAGACGTGTCTGGTGGCCAAGGTCACAGAGATTGCTGTCCATGTTCTCTACGATTTTGATGGATTCCTGTTTCACTTCCATCCATTTTGAGTCTATTTTTATGTATGGTTTAAGGAAATGGTCCAGTTTCATTCTTCTGCATGTGGCTGTTCAGTTTTCTCAACACCATTTGTTGAAGAGACTGTCTTTTTTCCATTGGACATTCTTCTCTGCCTTGTCAAAGATTAGTTGACCATAGAGTTGAGGGTCCATTTCTGGGCTCTCTATTCTGTTCCACTGATCTATGTGTCTGTTTTTGTGCCAGTACCATGCTGTCCTGATGATTACAGCTTTGTCATAGAACTGGAAGTCCGGAATTGTGATGCCACCAGCTTTGCTTTTCTTTTTTCAACCTTCCTTTGGTTCTTTGGGGTCTTTTCTGTGAAAATGTTGATGGCATTTTGATAGGGATTGCACTGAATGTGTAGATTGCTCTGGGCAGCATAGACATTTTAACAGTATTTGTTCTTCTAATCCATGAGCACGGAATGTTTTTCTGTTTCTTTATGGAGATGACGTTGTTTTAAACAGGAAGAATGAGCCAAGGTAGTAAAAAGGAGGGATCGGGGCGAGGGATCGGAAAGGGGTGGTCTGGTTCAGAGCCCGAGTGACTTGCTTCGCTCCTCTCTCTCCCGGGATCGGCTCCTCCGTGTCATGGGTTCTGGCCTCTCTCTCCCTACAGCTTGTGAATGTGACCCCCAGGGCTCATTGAGTTCCGTCTGTGACCCCAATGGAGGCCAGTGCCAGTGCCGGCCGAATGTGGTTGGAAGAACCTGCGACAGATGTGCTCCTGGCACCTTTGGCTTTGGCCCCAGTGGATGCAAACGTAAGTTAATCAGAACTGTAACGTATTCACTGAGGTGAAGCTGAGAAATACCGGTGTGGGTTCTGTGGCTCCGGAAGGTGGGGCATCGCTCCACAAACTGATCACCTGAGCACGGGGTGCTTCTCTCTGGGGTGGGTTTGCACTGAAGGAGTTTCTCAGGGTGGTTCCCCTGTTGCCTCTTTCTTCAGCTTGTGAGTGCCACCTGCAAGGATCTGTCAACGCCTTCTGCCACCCCATCACTGGCCAGTGCCAGTGTTTCCAGGGCGTGTACACTCGGCAGTGTGACCAGTGCCTACCCGGGTACTGGGGCTTCCCGAGCTGCCAGCCCTGCCAATGTAACGGCCACGCCGATGACTGCGACTCAGCGACGGGGGCCTGCCTGGGCTGCCAGGACTACACCACGGGGCACAACTGTGAAAGGTACGTGCTCACCTCCTCTCCAAAGTAAAGAGAAGGAGATGGTTTTGGGCTGAGCGGACAGCATCTTAGACAAACACAAGGCAGAATGTCTACCAGATTCCAGAAGGCTCGTTCATTTCCGACCAGCTCCGTATTTCCTAGGAACTCATTCCATTACTGGGTGCGCCTTTAGTTGATACCTTCTGTGTGCCGGGCGCCATGTTGGTGCTGGGATACGGCAGAGAACAAACATGAGCTGCCCCCCCTTGGAGCACCATCCGGAGGTCAGCCTAGATCTGGACAGAAATCCTCGGTCTCAGCAGATTCTCACCTAGGATGAGCGTTCTGAAATGTAAATGCCTCATTTGGGTCAAAATAGAAACCACATCCAAATAGAATTTGGCATTTTAGACAGCTCTATTTTTTGAAACACTTTCATGCAGCTCCAGCTTCCAGGAGGCCACATAAAATGTGCAAAAGTAGACCTGTTTTCCAGTTAGCAAATTAACTGAATAATTATTACGGATGTAAAGCGCACTACGCTAGATACAGCAAAAGAGGACCTAGAATGTGCCCCTAATAACATTACGGCCAAGCTCAGTAGATAATAATCCACATGATGAAATTACATGCCAACTTAGACTGTTCATTCCTAATGAAAGATCTGCGACGAGAACTGCTTTTTTTGGAGTAATGGTCTCCACCTTTCATCTCAGTTAACATGCATCCACTCTATCTGGGACTTCTGTTTTTAAAATGTCAGCAAATGCCTCAGTGCAAAAATTGTTCATCAGATGAAAGAGAAATTGCCAGTGGAAATTGAATATAGGATCAACTTATGTTGGGAAGACATGCGTGGAAGCAAATATGGGGTTTTCAGCTTTGTGCTAGAGTGCTGTTCAAGAATTTAGAGGTTCCAAGGGTGCCTGGGTGGCTCGGTCCATTAGGCCTCTGCCTTCGGCTCAGGTCTGATCTCAGGGTCCTGGGATCGAGCCCCGTCTCGGGCTCCGGGCTCAACGGGGAGTCTGCTTCTCCCTCTCCCTCTCCCTCTCCCTCTGGGTGCTTTCTCTCTCTCTCTCTCTCTCAAATAAATAAATAAATCTTAAAAAAAAAGAATTTGGAAGTTCCAGTAACTACTCCTTTGAATGAAAGTTATTCCTTCCAAGCACAAAATTGCCTTGTAAGAAAATAATAAGGAAGCAGTTATTAATATATTAATGTCATCTCTTTTTTTCTGCATTAAGATTTTCATTACTGTTCTTTGGGAGATGGAGAATGAGTTCAAAAGAGACAGACAGATAAGAAAATGAGATTAAAAAGAACAAGAGGGTGAGGCAGGGAACACAGGTGGTCGTCCACCACGCGGGTGTGAAATCCAGCACGGGCAGTGGGGGGAGCGGGGGTGGGCAGTGTGGCATGACCAGCATCCCGTGCGAAGAGCTGGCTTGATATTTGTGACTGTTTGGATTTTATTTGTAAAGCGTTTTGTTTCTTGTAGGAAAATGCGAAAGGGTGTGGGAGGGGAAAAACGTTTAGTCCTACATTTGGATGACAAAAAGTATCTGGGATTCTGTGAGGCAACTTCTCGTCATTCTTTTCTTCATTGCAAGATATTCAGAGTTTCAGTCCTGTGAATTCAAGCAGCCGCTCTGGGCTCAGCTCATTCCCAAGGGGGGGATGGAGGGAGAGGCAGGAAATGAACACTAAGTTTCCTTTCATGAGGTATTTGGATTTATTTCACTGAGAAAAGCCTTCTAGAAAACTTTCTCAGAACCCGTTGTACAAACTTGCTTCATCTCTGCTGACTTTCCCAGCACATAATTGGAGGACGTGTTCTTGTATCCTGTCTGTGTCTAATTAAATAGAACGTTAATCTCCTCTGAACAGCTTTCCCTTCTCTTTCTTCATCTCATTCCCCTCTCCCCATTTAAAAAAATATTACCTATTTCAAAAGAAAAAAAGCAAAAATACCCCCCCCAAAAAAAAACCCAAATAACAAAAACCATGACAAACAAAATGAATTGGAAATCCTCAGACCTCAGGTTCAGTTCTGCTTCTAGGTATAGCCCTGGGTGAGTTAGCTCACCTCTCCGAGTGTCCAGCCATCTGCTGATAGAATAGGTTGGATTAGATGATCTCCAAAGTTCCTTCACCCTTTGTTACAGGAAGAAAAAGTAACCCCAAATCAACCAGTCATGTTGAGAAATGTTGAAAAGCAGCATCCCATAGTAAAAGAATGCCTTGCTACAAGTCAGGAGGCTGAATTCAAATCCTGGCTCATTACATACTGGCTGTGTGAGCCTTGCAGGTCATTTAACCTCCGTGGGTTCCTGATCTGTAAGGAGAGGAGGTGGGAGTCGGTAAATGACCTCCCTCTTGCCTCTCCTAGTTTGAAACCACCTGACAGACACAGGAGTCCTGCAGCTGGAGAGCGTCCTTATCAGCTTTGTCACTGGTGAGGGCTGGAATGCGGAACAAGCCCCCATGGGCTTGCTAACTCATCACTCCTCCCAGGCAGGGGCAGACAGACAGACAACCACACACTGCCTTCCCGCACCCCCCCCCCCGCCACGCCACCTCCTTCCCCAGACTCTTTAATGTAAGGCAGAATGCTCAGGGCAGGCGGGCAGGCAGCTGATAGGACAACAGGGGGCACGTGAGGAGATGTACCTCTTCTTCTGGGGAGGAGTGAGTGAGGGTCCTAATGCAGTGCCCCTGCACGTGTGATCCCCAGACGAGCAGCATCAGCGTCACACGGGAATGACTAAGTCAGAAATGGAGGGATGAGCCTGGCAGCCTGTTTTAACAAGCCCTCCAAGGGATTCTGATTGGAGCGAACATTGGAGAACCACCGCCCTCATGGAAAATCTTCCAAGTGGAAATAGGAGGAATGGGGGAGGTGAATGCTCGTAAGCAGAGAACACGGTTTCTTGGACTCTTTCTTGTAACGGGTTTCTTACAGTGGTGGTTCATGGGCCCTCTCTCCTCTGGGCCTGATGCAGGTGCTTGGCCGGTTACTATGGCGATCCCATCATCGGGTCGGGAGATCACTGCCGCCCTTGTCCTTGCCCAGACGGTCCCGACAGCGGACGCCAGTTCGCCAGTAGCTGTTATCAGGACCCCGTGACTTTGCAGCTGGCTTGTGTCTGTAATCCTGGGCACATCGGTAAGTAAGGTCCAGACTTCCGGAGGAAAGGACATGTCTTTCTGAGTTTTAGTTGTGCATGAAGGAAAGAGATGAAGAGTGCGACAATTTAGTATCGTGTTTACCAACCTTAATTAAAACCAAAGGGAACGTGACGTACGAAAGATGCTCTTTTTCCCTGTTTGGCACATGGAGTAAATTCTTGAGTGTCGGCGATGATGCTCTAAGAGCAGGAGAGCAAGCGCACTTGAATCCCTGAGTGAGTCCCCTTCCCCAGCTCCCGGCAGAAGAGGCTCAACGTGGTGAAGTGGCCACACAGTGGGCAGAGGGAAGAGCAGAACTTCATCCCCAGACACCTGCGTTAGCCAAACTTGATACGCTCTTTGTTGTCGGTTATACGCCCGGGCTCTGCCGAGCCTCACGGAGTGGACTTAACTTATGATCACTCCCTTTCATTTCCTCCTTGATGCCACGGTTTCAGACATTAGGGATGCCTCGCCGTAGTTCAGAAACACGGGCCCAGATTTCAGGTCCTCTTTCCCGCGAATGACATGGTCACCCCGGGCTCGGCCAGGAGCCCAGCACCTCCGGGGCCGGCGCTCTCGGCGGGGTGCCGGGGGGCGGGACGCGTCAGGCAGCAAGCCGAACGGCTTGTGCTTGGTCCCTAGGCTCCAGGTGTGACGACTGTGCCCCAGGCTTCTTCGGCAGGCCCTCGGACGTGGGGGGCGCCTGTCAGTCTTGCCAATGTCACCGCAACATCGACACGACCGACCCGGAAGCCTGCGACAAGGAGACGGGGAGGTGCCTCAAGTGCTTGTACCATACGGAGGGGGAGCAGTGCCAGGTCTGCCGGTCCGGGTACTATGGGGACGCCCTCCGGCAGGACTGTCGAAGTAAGCGGCTTCCCTTCGCCCGCCTCTCGATGATTTCCGCCACCTTCTTTGCTGTCGGGGGGATGTTCTTCTTCGGGTGTCTGTTTCCTCTGGGAAGACACCTGACAAGCTTTTGCTTGGACAAAAGAAGGATGAGATTGACCCTTTCTTTTTGTTACATCCTCGTTTTCTGGCAGGACTGAAGTCTCAAGATGCGGCTCAGTGCCGGAGGGAGGGAACCCAAGGGAAACTGTGCAGCTGTGTCAGAAATCAGTGCCACCCAATAGAGTGCGTTGATTTTACGTTCTGCCCGTGAACTTGCTGCCGGGCCGGGACATGAAGGTCCTAAGTACCCACTCTGGTCGGCACCTAGTTCCTCCTGCCGTCGGTGGGTGGAGCCTTCCTGCCTGAGGGGGAGAAGGAAGGAACATCTCTCCAGTGTCTCCTGCAGAACTCCTCCTTTCTCTCTTAGCAGGAGATCAGTCAGCATCTCCTCCTGCGGAGGCCGCGCCCCTAGGCCCCCCTGTTTATACAGACACGTGGGGAATGTGGAGGGCCAGCAGGACTGGTCCTTACCCGCTCGCGGGGCCTCCACCTGCCTTGTCTGACACATCCATTACTGCTGCTCCCTGCCGAGGGTTTGAAGTCCTGACATCCCAAGTCCCACGGCATATTTTGTTGTTGTTATTTCCAGTTAAGTCCTCAATTTTAACATGATTCGCCAGCAGCTTATTATGAGTATTTCAGAAATGCTGGTAGGCAAAATGTGTCCTGATCTGCCTGGGAAACATCAGAACTGTCTACGTTGTAAGAATTTCTGAAGAATAGCAGTTTTAGTGGGGTTTTTCTGGTTTTGTTTTGGTTTTGTGTGTTTTTGTTTTGTTTTTATTTTTGTTTTTTGTTTTGGGTTTTTTTTAAATCATTTCCATTTCTTTCCCTCCTTTTTTTTTTAAGATTTTATTTATTTATTTGACAGAGAGAGAGACAGAGAGCACAAGCAGGGGGAGCTACAGAAGGAGAGGGAGAAGCAGGCTCCCCGCTGAGCAGGGAGCCCGATGCGGGGCTCGATCCCAGGACCCTGGGATCCTGACCTGAGCCGAAGGCAGACGCTTAACCGACTGAGCCACCCAGGCGCCCCCGTTGCTTTCCCTCTTGTTTGCATCCCCAGGCCAGAACCTGGGGAGGGCCGATCTTAGCCATTAGAACGTAGCTAACTTCCGTATCATCTGCGTATTTCATGGATTCTAGGAGCTTGTTGAGTGTAAGTAAATGGGATCGCACCGTTCGTTTCCAGAGTGTGTCTGCAATACCCTGGGCACGGGGCAGGAGCACTGCAACGGCTCCGACTGCCAGTGTGACAGAACCACGGGCCAGTGCCTGTGTCTTCCCAATGTGCTCGGGCAGAACTGCGACCGCTGCGCGCCCGACACCTGGCAGCTGGCCAGCGGGACCGGCTGTGACCTGTGTGGCTGCGATCCCGCTCATTCCTTCGGGCCGTCGTGCAACGAGGTGAGGTGCTGTGGCCAGGGGCGAGGCCATGTGGCATGAGGACTCCCCTTTAGGAGTCCGGGGTGGGGGGTGGCGAGCCCATTCGGTGGCTTTGCCCCAGTTAGAGGAGGGCCCCCCACCTCCTCGCGGCCAGGGCGCGCAACCCGGCTACCACAACACCGACTGGGGTCAGACCCCCCATCAGGATGCACAGGTGTGTGCTGTTTTTCATCCACACCTGGCTGCTGCCGAACCAGACTCCCTGCTTAGCGATACAGCCTGAAAGGAAGCACGTGGCCCTATCGGCACGGTAAGTTGTGCTCTTGCTTCCTGACACACCCTGAGAGCGAGGTGTGCCCACGGCAGGCGTGTCGCAGGAGGCCTAGGCTCACTGGCGGCGTGTGAAGAAACCCGCAGATGAAGCGTAACGTGCTCTGGCCCTTTCCACCGCTCGTTGCTGGAGAGCAGTCAGAGGCCGGCAGGGGCCCTGGGCACCCGGGGGGCAGCGGGGACGTCAGAGCCCGAGGGGGCTTCTCTGCTTGAGTCCCGCGCCTGCCGGCCCATGTGACCGGGCTGTGTCTTGTGGCCGCAGTTCACGGGACAGTGTCAGTGCATGCCCGGCTTCGGAGGCCGCACCTGCAGCGAGTGCCAGGAGCTCTTCTGGGGAGACCCCAACGTGGAGTGCCGAGGTGAGCTGCGGGTGTTCTCGGGGGGCGCCGGGCGGGCCCGAGGCAACACACGTGTGCTGCAGCTCTTTGTACCGGGGAGTTGGTTTGTAGGTCTCGTGACAAAAGCAGTTCGAGCTCAGTGTTCAGAGAACAATCTAACAGATCCTGCCCCATGGAAGGGCAGGTCGTAAAGGGCGAGCTGCTGACTTCCAGCTCCATCCCCCGGGGAGGGGGGTAGGGGAGTCTTTGTCTCTGCACAAGGGCATGCACGTACCATGAAGACACACGGAATGGCTTTTTCACACGCTTTTGACCCAAATGGGCTCATCTTAATGACCTCGTTCTGCAAACTGATTATTCCCCCTCCCGTGAACAGTACCTTGTGGCCGGCTTCCTTGTCAGCACACGCAGAGTTAAATGTGGTTCTGGTCGGCTCGTGTGGTTCCAGTGTGTCCAGTAGACTCTGCTGATAGTTAAGGCCCTCGGCGCATGTGCGGTAGCATGCTGTCCCCACCGGTGGGAACCGGAGGGCCATACCCCAGCATCTCTCTGCACAACAGAGGAGGAGGTGACAGGAGCCCCAAGTCTGTTAAATGTGAATAAAAGCCAGATTTTCACTTAGGCTTATGACAAACAGGAGTATGAGGGAAAACTTGACGACTTCTTCAGAAGAAAAACTTGTTAAAATCATGTGGATCGTAAGGATTGCTTAATTCTCGTGCTGTTGCAGTTTTGGTTTTGACCTGCCAGGTATTTTTTCGGATCTTAAAGCAAAAGCATTTGTAGGAAGGATTTTCATAGACTGCTTCTATTCTGGTGTACTAGTCTTTCTTTCCTGCTTGGGTTGTCTTCCCCACTTTTCAAGCTTATAAGTACAGATAACTATCTTTGCAGTTTTTTAACCGTTCTTCCATATATTTTCCTTGTGACACATCTGAAATTATCAGTCCCTATTGGACTCTAAATAAAAAGTGACCTTTTTCTTTTTTGGAGACAGCTGTGGCAAGAAATGATACAGAGCTTCAAGCTAGTGGTTCACTGAGTATCTCCTATCAAAGATGAGAAACAGAGATACTATGTGTTCCTTCAGAGTCCACCCATCTGTTCCTTAACAGGGGGGCAAACTTCAGTGGACAAGGCCTGAATACAAGGCATATGATCTGTTATTTCAGTGAAGGCTTAACCAGAAGGGTTTGTACCAACATCTCAGGTTAAGGTTTGTTCCACAGAAATGATTACAGTGTGGATGAGCAGGTGCTCCTTCCTTCATCGGCCATTAGTCCAGATGTTGGTTTCTCATGGGATCTCATTTTCTCATTTCCGCGAGAAGGTCTGCGACATTCAATGGGATGCCTGCTCCAGGCTGTCTCCCGCAAGTAACATCCTGTTTAAAGTAGGGTTTCTCCGGGGCTCCAGTCACTCTCCTGGCAGATTCCTCCATCTTGTAATGCCCCAAGGGCTTCACTTGCTCCAGATAATGGTTCTATCATCGCTTATAGCCCGATTCCACCAGCATGTGTCATTGGCAAAATAGCTTTGACCACCAGAGCTTGCTGACCTTTTGTTCCATCTCAGCTTTGTGAGCATGAAAAGCCCGTTCCCCGAGTTAGTCAATCAGAGAATTGTTCATTTAGTGCTCAGAACTTTACCCCTCACCCTTTTATCCTCAAACTTTCAGCTCTAAATCTGCTAGAGCAATTGCGGCTTATAGGAACAGTATCAGCTTGTTCTGGTCAAAAGTTAGATCATGTTTTAGCAACTTTGCAAAGAGGGAAATCCATGGCATCCGTGTCCACCAACTACTTTGTGGTATCCAGAAAAAATGTCAGCCTGTTACATAAGAAAGTGTTGGGACCCAAGTGTTTTTGACGACCTGGGTGAACTGGAGAAAGCTCCTAACCTGCAAAGTTTCCAGAGACAGAGTTGGGACTTAGCCATGGGGAGGTCATGGCCGCCACTGGGCCTTGTGTGAACAGGATGGCAGCGAGGCAGGGCTAGTATGATCGGATGAGGCAGGGCCAAAATGCAGCAGCACATGGAGATCAGGGCCCTGGATGAACTGGAATATGGTCACAAATGGAAATGGGGGGACAGGGTCCGACTATGAGCAGGGACGAGAATAGGTGTCATCCAAAATCAGATGCAACCATGGGGAAAGAATAGGACTACTTTTCTTAAGAATAGGTCATTAATTGCCCAATGGTCTTCAATGTCAAATCTTCCAGGGCACAGATTGAGACTTTCTGGTGCCATTTGGTAAACAGCATGCTTCCAGGAAGGCTTAAGGTCATAGCGAAGTTTTCTCCTTATGGAAAAAAATGTAGTTGTGTGAAAGACAAATGAGTGGAGCCTCAGACTTATGACTTGTTGAATGTTCCTATTGTCCAGGCGGGTTGGGGCTCTTGGCCAGTCATCCAAGTCTGAACAAGCCCACCACTGTGTGGGGATGGAGAGAATCCCATCCACCCACCAGTGAACGTGCCGGAGAAAACCTCAGCTCCAAGCTCTCCATTGTGCTCTTTGGGAGTCAAAGGATCACACGAGGAATCTTTCTGTTGATTCATAGATAGCAAAGGGAGGGCCTCTGGCTGTTGGAAAAGGCCAGTGTCTCTTAAATCAGTGCAAATGGGAAATGTGGGCCATAGGTGAGAGGCCCATCATGCTTATTTCTCATTTCAAATTGTTTTTAATAGAGAAATGAAGTGCATTCCTTTGCTCAGACTTGAATTTTTAAGACACTTGTATTCTTTTCTCAGGCTGGGATTCGTTTACCGCTACCCACCTTATTCTTTATTTGCAGCATGACTTGGGAAATCAGATTTAATTTGATTCTTTAGAGAGCCACAAATACTCTTGTTAGTAGAGGGAAGGCTTATCTTACATGATCCTAATCACAGCACGTGTGTCCCCTGCAGGGCAGTCCGGGCCAGGCCAGGGGCGGGCAAACCCAGCCCACCGCCTGTGCGGTGCGTTTGTGTCTGATCTGTGGCCCGCAAAGCCTAACTATGTCCTATCCAGGCCTTTATAGAGAAAGTTTGATGAGCCAGGGAGCTCATTTCTGCAAGTGAAATCATTACTTCCCATCTTTCGTCCCCAGACCGAAGTTAGCAAGGCCAAAGAAATAAATAAATAAAATGGTGGGCCTGAAGAGGTAGAGAATTTAAAGCAAAATCACATTCCTTTTTTAAAGATTTTATTTATTTATTTGAGAGAGAGAGAGAGCATGAGCAGGGGGAGGGGCAAAGGGAGAGGGAGAAGCAGGCTCCTCTCCGAGCAGGGATCCCAATGCGGGGCTCGATCCCAGGACCCTGGGATCGTGACCTGAGCCAAAGGCAGATGCTTAACCAACTGAGCCACCCAGGTGCCCCCAAAACCACATTTAAATATTGAAAAGAAGAGCCGTATGCACCCCAGTGTTCATAGCAGCAATGTCCACAGTAGCCAAACTGTGGAAAGAGCCAAGATGCCCTTCAACTGATGACTGGATAAAGATGTGGTCCATATATACAATGGAATACTACTCAGCCATCAGAAAGGATGAATACCCAACTTTTACATCAACATGGATGGGACTGGAGGAGATTATGCTAAGCAAAATAAGTCAAGCAGAGAAAGACAATTATATGGTTTCACTTATTTGTGGAACATAAGGAATAACATGGAGGACATTAGGAGAAAGAAGGGAAAAATGAAGGGGGGATATCGGAGGGGAAGACGAACCACGAGCACTATGGACTCTGAGAAACAAACTGAGGGTTCTAGAAGGAAGGGGGGTGGGGGGATGGGTTAGCCTGGTGATGGGTGTTAAGGAGGGCACATACTGAATGGAGCACTGGGTGTTATATGCAAACAATGAATCTTGGAACACTACATCAAAAACTAATGATGTAATGTATGGTGACTAACATAACATAATAAAATTAAATTTAAAAAATCACATTTAAGAGACTAGAAAATTTAAATTTCCCTTACAGTAAAGTAGAACTGCCTAGGTAGAGGATCCGTGAAACTTTGGGCAGTAGAGCTAATCCTGGAGTCCCTACTCTGAGGCAGGGTCCATGATAGAATAACCCTGTTACCTGGTTGTAGGACATAGTACTTTCTCCAGGCAGGCTGCATACCAGCACAGAGCTGAGCGTGCACTCAGCCTCATGGGGTGGGGACCCAGCAAAGAAGCGCGGCCCCTTGGGCGCCAGGCTCCGGCAGGCCCCATGAGGAAATGGCGCACGTAGAGTAACCTGATGGCAAGAAGCAGGAAGAGAGCGGTATAGACCTTTCCAACTGTCCCAGGAGGGCCAGACCCATAGGAACTGGAGTCATGCAGCAAGGTTGAATGGAAAAGGTTAGCTGTAGGGGCCGTTTGCACTTGTGTGTGTGCTGAGCACTTGTAGGGATGTTAAATACATATTCTTGCTTTTATCCTTACAACTAATCATCTACGAGGATAAATATAACCTCTGCTTCACAGCTGAGAAATCTTAGGCTCAGAGAAGTTAAGTGACTTGCCCAAAAACCGCAGGTGAGGGCCGAGCTGGGAAGCCAGGCCTGTGTGGCCCAATGTCCCTGTTCTTTCCACAGGCCTGG